TTCACCGAGACCCGTGCTGCTCAAGACGGAGCCCTCCGGGAGCTCCTCTCACGCGCCGACCCATGCGGTTCTGGCGCCGCCTCGTCATCACCCTAAGTCCGCGACCGAGTCGCTTGGCCCTCCAGAGAGGCGCTGCGCCCGTCGACCTGCTCGGCTTCGCGCAGCCTCAGGATAGGGCGCGGCTGGAGGGATGGCAGAGTTATGTGCTTCGAGATCGGCACGCCGACGAGGCCCTGGCGCAGTCGGCCTGCCCGCGCGGGCCCTACTGCGACCCGAGCCTGTTTCGTGAAGCGAGCCGCTGTGGACAGCGGTCTGCCGCACACCGTCGGCCTCTTAGTCGACTTCCCAAGAAGTCGGGGGCCCTCAGAATCACATTCGACACGAGGGCCGCGAATTGCAAGTTTTTTGGTTCACCAGCTACCAGGCTTCCTTCGGCCGCGTCGTTTGGAGCGATCGAAGCCCCAGCTGATGGCACGCACCTCTCGTCGCGCGACCTGGAGTGCGCTTTCTACCGCATGCGGCTGCCCAGTGGGATGGATCCCACGTCCACCTCGCCTTCGATATCGGTGGCCGTGCTGCAGGAGCTTAGCTTGATCGACCTGGACTTCGACCCGTCCACGCGCGCGACGCCCATGGTGACCGCCCCCCCGATGGGCTTCGCGTGGGCGCCGCGCTTCTGCCAGTCTGCAGCGCGCGCCGCCCTGGCAGCCCATGGCCATGAGAGGGGCCATGACAGCGCTGGGCGGGCAAGCAGGCGCGGCTGTCACCGACCCCGTCTCTGCGGGCGTCGGCGCCTACGTTGGCGACGTCTTGACCTTCGACGCTGACAAGAATGCGGTCGACCGGGCCATGGCACGGCTCGTGGCCGCCTTCCGCGCTCGAGGGCTTCCAGTTCATGAGATCGAGCCCGCCTCGCAGGACGCGGACTTCCTTGGCCTCAGCCTGCGGCGCGGGAAGTCCTCGCGCATCAAGCCGCGCAACGTCTGGCGGCTGCGCGCCGCGACCTCAGGGCTCCTGCGGCGTGGCTGGTGCAGCGGCCACATGATGCGCGCAGTCCTTGGTCATGCCACTTCGGCGCAGATGATGCGTCGCGAGGTCCTCGCTGCACTCCGCGGCGCCCACAGCTTCGCGGCGGCGCACGGCGAGAGGCAGGGCAGGAAATGGGCGTCAGCGGCAGAGGAACTGGTCGGTCTCCATTCGCGACTTGCTGCCCATGTTGTCCTGCGACCTCTCGTTGAATCGCAGACGGTCGCGGCGCTGGCGCACTTCGCGCCCAGGATTCCGAGGCAGGTGGGCTCGCTCCCGCCCCGCGCGTCGCGCGCGATGCAGGTAGGCGGACTCCTACCCTCACGCAGCTGGCGATCCTTTGGGCAGTCATGCTTGCGCTGGCTGGCGTCCTGATTGCGCGGCAGCAGGCGCCCGCGGCAGCGTGGCTGGCGATCTCGTTCTCGGCGTGCCTCGGGCCCGCCGAGGCGCGGCGGCCCACGACGGACAGCGTCGTTCAGCCATCAGCGTTGGCAGGGCCAGGCGGGCAAGGCGGGCTCCTTCGATGAGTCGATCCTCTTCGACCTCGATCTGTACCTGGCGCCTGGCTCATGGCCCTCCGTTCCAGAGGGGGCCCGGGCGCGCCGCTGTGGAGGTTCTCTCTGACGGAGCTCAACAGGATGTTCGCGCTGGCGGCGGTGGTGCTTGGAACCTCCCAGCTGCGCCCTCACCTCTACGGGATGCGGCGCGGGGGAGTGAGCGGCGATCCCCTGACCTAGCGGAGGTCGCAGGAGCAGGTCTTCCGCCGGGGCCGCTGGGCCGCGATGTCCTCGACGCGGCGGCGTGCGAAGGAGACGGCCCTTTCTGCGCGAGCTGCAGGGGGCGCGTCCAGACGCGCGCGCTTTCGGCGACGTGGTCGCGCAGAACTTATGCCTGCCGATCGAGAAGGGCTTCTTCGGCGCCAGGCTGCAGCATCTCATCCAAGTCCGCCTGGCCGCCCCCGTCCTGTCCAGGCCGGGCGACGAGCCCAAAAGTGAGGAGGAGCCCGGCTGGCTGCGCCCGAGCGCGGCCGAGGCCGGCCCTGGCGGCGGCGCCTCTTGCGCCCGCGCTGGGCGAGCTCGGCCGCCATCGCGCGGCGCCGAGGTAGCTGATCACCTCAGGCGCCGCTTCAGAGCGGCTGTCAGCCGCGGCCCCCTGCGCCGGCGGCGCGTCGCGCTGGAGCTGTTCAGCGGCAGTGGGCATTTCGCGGCCGCCGCCCGCCGCCTCGGCCTGTCGGCGCTCGGCCTCGACGTCCTGCAGTCGCCTCTGGAGGACCACCTCTGCCGCGACTTCGAACGGACAGTGACCGGCTGGCTCTGCGGCCGCGCGGTCGCGGCGGTCTTCCTCGGCGCGCCGTGCGCGACGCGGTCGCGGGTTTTCCGGGGGCCCCTCAGGACGCGAGCCCAGGCCATGGGCATCGGTGGGCTCTCGGCCTCTGAGACCGCCCGTCTGACCACAGGCAATGCCTCCTCTTACTTCACATGCCGCATCAATCGGGCATGTTGTAAGCTAAACATACCTGTGCTGGTCGAGAATCCCGCTAGCTCTTTGATGTGGCATGCCAGGCCCCTCGCGTCCCCCATCGCCTCTGAGGGCGCTCGAGTGTGCGATCTCGACCAATGCCAAATCGGGACCTCCTGGCAGGAACATACCAAACTCGCTGCCTGGCAGACGGGCCCGCTTCTTGGTCTCGATCGGCTCTGTCTGGGTCGCAGGGGGATTTGCTCTCGGACCGGGAATCGACTCGCCATTTTCACGGGCCAGGCCCCAGAGGGCTGTAAATGCACGGTTATGACTGCCGCCTATCCCGCTAGCCCGTGCAATGTTGTGGCCAATGTTTTTCAGAAACGCTCTGTTGCAGAGGCCTAGACAAGTCATGGCAGACTTGGTTAGCAAGTCGTGCTCTTGATCACATCGAGCTGCTTTTAACCACTTCGGCCCTCCAGTTTCAGCTTCCAGGCCACTACTTCCTGATGGGGTTTGGGACCTCATCTGTATGTGCCTCGCCTGCTGCACGCTCGGTGGTCAATGTCAGTACATTTCGTGCCGGCAGTCATCTCTGCCGCCGCCTGGCTCCTGCGTCACGCATAGGACGCAAAGAAGCCGCATGCCTATCGTCGGTCACTGCTGCTGCTGTCCTCACGTCAGCTCTGGCACTCGTGGAGTCGGGACGGGCTGGACAGTTTTTAGAACGTATTGCAGAGCCCCAAGGTGAGAGCGCCGCACTTCCCCATGCCAGCTCGTGCCTGTCTGCTGGCATGTGTGCTCAAGGGCACCCACCCAGAGGCCGCCCTCACTTGAATCCTTTAATTCCGTCCTTCTTTGGGGACCTCATCTGTATGTGCCTCGCCTGCTGCGCGCTCGGTGGTCAATGTCAGTACCTCTCTTGCCGGCAGTCATCTCTGCCGCCGCCTGGCTCGTGCGTCACGCGCATGTTGCAAAGAAACCGCATGCCAATCGTCGGTCACTGCTGCCGCTGCTGTCATCAGGTCAGTTTTGGCACTCGTGGAGTCGGGGCAGATAAATATACACATATTTAAACGTCGATATATAAAGCACAAGCAATAGTTTGCGGAGGAGGACGACAATGACGAGAAGGAGGAGGAGGAGGAGAAAGAGGAGGAGGATAAGGAGGATGAGGAGGAGGAGGGGGGGGAGGAGGAGGAGGAGGAGGAGGAGGAGGAGGAGGAGGAGGAGGAGGAGGAGGAGGAGGAGGGGGAGCGGAGTGGATGGTCGCCTGGTTTACTTGCAGCCAAGAGTCGGAAGAGAGGGTAAGGGTGACGATGACGATGGTTAGGAGGCACGAGGATGACCGCGTCCGCTTGCCCTCGAAGGTTGCAGGGGGGAAACAGGGAGCACGGGAAAAGGGATGGAGGGAGGGAGGAGACAGGGAGGGGGGGATGGAGGGGAACGGCCGACCAGGAGGGGATGCCACCCTTGGGGGTCGGACCATGTATCAGAGCCACAGACCAAACAGAGGGGGTGGTAGTGGAATCGCGCTTGCCGCTGGTTCTCCCGTCCGCCGGTGTTGCTTTTCCTGATGTATTTCCGCTTTTCCTCCTCCTCGTCCTCCTCGTCCTCCTCCTCCTCCTCCTCCTTTTCCTCCACCACCTCGCCCCTTTTGCCCTAGAGTTCAGGACACCGGTGGAACTTGGAAGTCCATGGCCACTGCTATTCCACATGTTCCCACATCCTTCAACCTGTTGACCAATCCAAAAACTTTGACATACTTAGAAGCTGAAGCGAATTTGAGAGTGTTGCGGACCTTTAGAAAATATGTCTTCTCTGCTGTCTGGGGTTCCTGGAAGTACGGAGTTCCAAGTGCAAGGGCGTTCCAACTGTTTCACTACTTTGTACACCACGCCGTGTGTGTTTCAAATGAGTCATGTCTGCATGTTGTGAAGATTTGCCAGAAGTAATACTTTAAACACATGCATGTGGAGATCTTTGGAATCTTGGAAATCGGAAAAAAGGGCTGTTTGAAATTCCAGCGTGTCATCATGCATCAAGTTTTTGAAACATTTTCAGTCCTGAAGCTGTCGAAGTGCATGGATTTGGCAGTTCGAATGGCTTCACTTGTCCAGAACCGCCTCCCGAGCCTCGTCCACCCTTGTTCGTCATCGGCCCCCGAGGTTCCCCGAAGGGACCGGCGCCCCCGCAGGCGACCCCCCAGGCAACCGGACGGGAGTCCCGCCTTCCGCGCCCCAGCACCCGCCGACTGGGGACGGGGGGGGAAAGTGGGAGCAGCAGCCAGCAAGCAGCGGGTCGGGTCGTCGACGTCGTCCGTCGTCGTCCTCGTCGTCGGTCCCAGTCGGTCGTTGTCGCCCGTCGTCGTCGTCGTCGTCGCCGTCGTCGTCGTCGCCGTCGTCCTCGTCGTCCTCGTCGTCGGCTGTCGTCCTGCCGAGTGCGCCGGGGGGTCGGCCCCCGATGGCCCTCGGGCGCGCGAGCACGGGCGCAGGCCCTCGGCTCCCGCTCAGGAGGCGGCGCGGCGCCGGGTGGTGGAGGCGCGGCGGCGCGCGGCGGCGGAGGCGGCACCGCCTCCTTCCCTCCCCTTTTCTCGCGCGTCTTTCTCGCTGCTCATCTTCGCTGCTGCTCTTGGGCGTTCCTCTTCGCTGCGTCCTCTTCGCGGTTCCTCTGCGTGGCTCCTCCCTCCTCGCTGTTCCTCTTCGTCGTTCCTCCTCGTTGATCCTCTGCGTTGTTCCTCTTCGTTGTCCCTCTGCGTTGCTCATCTTCGCTGCTTCTCTAGGGGGCCACATGCGAACCCTACCCCTACCCCCCACGATTTCTGAGGGGGAGGGTGGGGTTCACTTCGCTCGAGAGCGCCCGAACGAAGTGAACCCCACCCTCCCCTCAGAAATCGTGGGGGGTAGGGGTAGGGTTCACATGTGGCCCCCTATTCTCTTCGTTGGGCCTCTTCGCTGTTCCTCCCCACGGCTCGGCGATTACTCTCTTCGTCGTTGGTCCTCGGGGGGGAGGGTGCCGCTCCTCGCAGCCCCTGCTGGCCGCAGCTCGGCCAGGCCGGCCGGCCAGGGCGGGTTCGGGGAGGGTTCTGTGGATGGACCCATTTCAAGCGGAGCTGGAGAGAGAGAGAGGGGAGATCGAGTAAAGATGGAGAGAGAGAGAGAGAGAGAGAGCGAGAGTGAGACAGAAATAGAGAGAGAGAGGCAGAGACAGACCCAGCGTCGTCAGGAGAGCGCGCCTGCTTTCCGTTGCGTTTCTCTCTGTCCGCATCGACCCTGCACCGTCTGTAGGGGGCCACATGCGAACCCTACCCCTACCCCCCACGATTTCTGAGGGGGAGGGTGGGGTTCACTTCGCTCGGGAGCTCCCGAACGAAGTGACCCCCCCCTCCCCTCAAAAATCGTGGGGGGTAGGGGTAGGGTTCGCATGTGGCCCCCTAGCGTAGTCGTGCCGCGCTGCGCACCGCTCACGGTCGGGCGCTGCCAGAAGTGCCCCTGGCCCAGGGTGCCCCCAGGATCTCCAGGAAGGCCCTCACGGCCTCCAGAGCACCCCTCACGAGGCCCAGAGGGCACCAGGGGCTCCATGATGGAGCGAATTGTGGGGAGCACCTTGGGCCAGGGGCACCAAAGCAACACCCGACACGAGAACTCCGCATCTCTTCCTCATATCCCCGCCCCTCCCCCCCCCTCCTGCAGTCTCCTCCCCTGCCCTCCCCTCCCCTCCTCTCCACTCCCTCCCTCCCCTACCCCTCCCCTCCCCCTCGCAGACTCCTTCCTTAGGTTCTACAGTGCGCTCCTCGATGGCGAGGCTTCTCCTGGGATTCCTTGTCCTCCAGAGGTCCCAAAGCAGCCCTGGTGTGTTCTCAGACGTCCTCGGCAAACATTGCAGAGGCTGCTCTTCTTTGGGGAACACCTTCCGACATTGCAGCGAGCACACGTTGGGTTCAGCCGACGTCGCCGGAGAGCCAGGCGAGTTAAGAGGGATATGGGGGAGGGGAGACGAGGGGAGGGGAGGACGTGGGAAGGGAGGATGAGGGGAGAACAGGGGAGGAGAGGGGGGGGAGGGGATGAGAAGGGGGCTGGAAAGAGGCAAGTGAAGGCAGGAGAGAAGGGGGGACAGGGGGGACAGGAACCCATCCCTGCTTTGCGCCAGCTTGTGTAAGCCCTACACATCAAGCCTGCTGCTGGTGCCACCGCTGCTGCTGCTGCTGCCGTGCTTGCTGCTGCAATTGTTGCTGGTGCAGCTGCTTTTCCTCCTGCTTCCCCTCCTGCTGCTGATCCTCCTCCCTCCTCCTGATCCCTCCTCCTCCTCGTCCTCCTCCTCCTCCTCGTTCTCCTCCTCCTCCTCCTCCTCCTCCTCCTCCTCCTCCTCCTCCTCCTCCTCCTCCTCCTCCTCCTCCTCCTCCTACTCATCATCATCCTCCCTTCTTCTCCCTACCCCTTACCCTCCCCCTCCTCCTGTTCCTCCTCTGGATGCTGGATCGTCGGTGGGAGCTTCTGCTGTGCCCCCGAGGTGCGGGCCTCGAAGGCGGACCTGAAGGCGGCCCTGAAGGGCGGCGCACGAAGCAACGAGGAGGCTCGGAGGGGGCCCGAAGCCGCCGCGCCAGACCCCAGACTTCGCTCCGCAGGGGACGCCGAAGCCCGCGACGCGGGCAGAGCCGCCACGCTCAGGGCATGATGGGTTGTGGCCGAGAAGACTGCAAGAGCGTTGGGTGCCGCTGCTGGCAGGGGGGATTCAAACCCCACCCCCAGCCCCCAAAAAAGACGGCGAGGGGGGTTGTCCGGACCCCCCCCCCCCTCCCCTTGGAACGATTCTTCGGGGAGCCCAGAGGTTCCCCCCCCCCCCCCCCCGGAAAACTATTCAGAGTGTCCAGTACCTTCCCCATCCCTTTTCCCGCTCCCTTTTCCCCTCGCCTCCCCCTGCCCCTCCCCCTCCCCTCCTCCCCTTTCACCCCCTCCCCTCCCCATCGCCTCCCGCTCCACTCCCCTCCCCTCCCCCTCCCCTCCCCTCCTCTCCCCCTCCCCTCCCATTCGGAGGTGTCCAGACCCTCCCCCGTTCCTCCCCCCCGTCGGTCACTCCCAGGGGCGCGAAGGTCAGGTAGGCTCGCGTCGTGTCGACCAGCGGCGAGCCCGCCGCCGGCGTTCGACGCTGAGCGCCGCCAGCGACCCGGAAATCGGTCGATGTTGAACGATCTGAGGTTTCGGCAACGGCCGATCGCTCAATGTTGGACGATCCCCGCGGTGTCAGAAACCCGGCGCCGCAGTCGGCACGACACGAACCCGCCGTCGCCGCGCCTCGTGCGTCGCGGTCTGGAGTCGGAAGGGCGCCCCCCCTCTTCCGCAGGGGCGGCGCGCGAGGGCGCGTGCTCGTCCTCCTCCTCCTCCTCCTCCTCCTCCTCCTCCTCCTCCTCCTCCTCCTCCTCCTCCTCCTCCTCCTCCTCCTCCTCCTCCTCCTCCTCCCCCCCCTCCTGGGGAGAGATGCGCGAAGTTGGGTGGCCTGTGGAAGCAGGGCCAGTCCCTTCTGGCCGACCTCAGGGGAGCAAAAAGTGGCATAAACATGAAAACTCGGAGGTCCGCGCGGATTTCTCGGATCGGCGCTGGACCGCCCTCCCTGGCGCGCGGAGCGCGCCAGGGGCGGCGCCGGAGGCGCCGCAGGGGGGCCCCAGCGCCGATCCGAGAAATCCGCGCGGACCTCCGAGTTTTTATGTTTATGCTACTTTGCCACTTTTAGTTTTTAGTTTTTATGTTTATGCTACTTTTTGTTCCCCCAGACCTGTGTCTGGGAGCCCTGCGGAGCCCGCCCCCCTCCCCGCCCTCCGCGGACCCCGGCTCTGGGGAGCTGCTCTGTGGTGGCCGGCCCGGGTCCGGTGCGGCGCCGACGCGGGCCAGCGCGCCCCCGGCTTCGGAGGCAGCGCTGCCAGCGGCGGCTTGTTTCTCGCGCGGAGTTGGCGCGACGAGCTGTTTGCCAAACGTCGGGCCTGTCCCCCCTACAGGGGGATCTTCGAGGGAAACATAAGAAATACCCCAGAAATGCTCCAAAAAGGTAAAACGGTACTCAAAAAATAGTCCCCAGACTATTTTTGGATTTTTTTTGCTATTTTTGGGGTATTTTGTTTTTCTTTCGTCGAAAATCCCCCTGTAGGGGGACAGGCCCGACTGAAGGTTTGCCCCAGTGCTGCCGACTGCGCGACGGAGCAGCACGGGGGTCGACCGCGCGGACCTTCGCGCGTGCGCCCTCCCGCGTGAAATGGCGCGTGGTCGCCCTCTATCTTTGGCATCGCTCGGGCGTGTGCATTTTTTCTCGGCTGGGGCCATCGAGAAGCACCCCCGACCATCGGGCCAACAAGACACGCACGAAGCCGAGCAGGGAGGGGACGTCCGAGCGATGGCGAGGCCAGCGCGTGCGCTCCCCGCGTAAAAAATGGCGCGCGAGCGCCCTCTGTCGGTCCAAGCGGTGTGCCACGCGGGCGGCCCGCGTGAGCCGCGGCGGAAGGTCGCCATGCCTCTCTGCGTTAGTTTTACGTCGGGCGTGTCCCCCTACCGGGGGATTTTCGACGAAAAATAAAAAATACAAAAAAATACCCCAAAAAGGTCAACAAATATTTACAACATAGTCCCCAGACTATGTTTGTATTATTTTTTGGTTATTATTGGGGTACGTTTTATTTTTCGTCGAAAATCCCCCTGTAGGGGGACAGGCCCGACTTGACGTTAGTTCCACTTCGTCGTTCAATTGTACGAGGCCCAAAGGTATACACCACCACCACCACCACCACCACCACCACCACCACCACCACCACCACCACCACCTCCCTCATCCCCGCCCTCCTCCCAGGAGAGAGGAGAGGAAGGCGAGGGCGGAGGAGGGAGGGGGAGTGGAGGCGGTGGTGGCGTATCTTGGCGGGCCCCTCGGCTTGTGCCTCGCCTCGCCCCTGCCTCCCGGCGGTCGGCCGCACTCCGGGGCGGGGGAGGGGGCCGAGAGCGGTGGGCCTCCTGCGAGGCGGGGCCCGTCGTGGGATCGCCCCCGCGGCTCGCCCTCGGCGCCTCCCCTCGCCGCGCTCGCGGCGCGCGACCCGCGGGGCCCGCGGGGCCCGCGGGGTCGAGACGCCGAAGCGGGGACCGCCTTGGGCTCGCTCAGGAGGAGCGCCGGTTTTCGGGCCCACGCCTTGCGTAGATCTGGTCGGGTCGTGGACCTGCCGTGGGGGCCCATGCCGAGGAGCACCCTGCTCGCCTCCGGTGTGCCCTGGGTTTGCTGGGCTGCGGCGATTTTGTTTGCTATGGAGCGTGTGGCGTTCCCGCGCCAGAAGTCAGATGGATCTGTCATAGGGTCTCAGGGTTGGGTCTCTCGTGGAGGGTCTCTTGTGGACTGGCCTCCACCGCATTCGTGCCCGAGGCTCGCCGTGGCCAGAGACGCCCCTTCGGTTCCGTACGCAGCGTTCCTCACGGCATCGCGATGTCGGTTGAGGGGTGTTGCGTTCGCGAACCAGCGCATGAACCCCCATGGTGTCCCTATTTGGGGCCATGTGCGTGCCTAGGCCTAGACACTTTCTGCACGTGCTTCTACACATTCGCACGCCCGCCGATCTTTAAGCTCTGAGTGCGTTACCTGATGGATCATATGGCGTTCACCGTCCAACGCCAATCGCAATTCGAACGGAAAAAAAGGGGGGGTGGGGGGGAAGGGAAGCAGCTGCGAGGGGGGGGGCGAGGACAGAAGGGGGGGGGGCACAGGCCTTCTCCGAGGCAGGGTGGCCCTCTGGAGGCCCCCACGGGCCCTGGAAGGAGGCGCGCCTCGCCCTCGCCCTCGCTTTTCCCCACCTCCCAGCTCCCGCCAGAAGGAGGAGGAGAGGAGGAGGAGGAGGAGGAGGAGGAGGAGGAAGGAGGGGAGAGCAGGATGAGGAGGAGGAGGAGGAGGAGGAGGAGGAGGAGCAGAGCAGGAGCAGGATCATGACAGGGAGCAAGACCATGAGGGAGTAGGAGGAGCAGGAGCAGGAGCAGGAGCAGGAACAGAAACAGGAACCGGAACATGGAACAGGACCAGGACAGGAAACAGGAAACAGGAACAGGAGGAGGAGGAGGAGGAGGAGGAGGGAGGGAGGGGAGGAGGAGAGGAGGGGCAGTGCAGAGGATGAGGAGGCGGGGGAGTAGGAGGGGAGTGAGAGAAGATAAGGAGGGAGGAGGAGGAGGAGGAGGAGGAGGAGGAGGAGGACCAGTGTAAACCCAAGAGTCATCAACGATGTTGGAGGAATACACCCTCCCTCCAAGCTCCCTCTTCAGAGGCCCCTACACATGTTCATTTCCACTGAGGGAACTGCCTCGTTGGAAGACAACCGTTTGAATACCATGACACGTGCCAAAACATGGTTCTCGGGATTCTAACGCCACGGATCAATCTGGCTGTTGCGTCTTGACGATCCTGAATCGTACCGTAATTCCATTCCTGGGACTTCAACACCGCGAGCCAGCGTATTTGTTGTACCTTCATAGTCCTGAATCCTTCCACAAACCATTTCTGGTACGCTGATCAAGGGAATCCGTGAAACCCTTGCACAGTTCAACAACGAGTGTGCGCGGCGCTATGGCGAGAGCCACATTTTGAAAAGGAACCGCCTTCAATCCGCGAAAATCTGGTGAACTTTTAAGACGACTTTACGTAGCGCTCAGGCGAGAGGTACATTTTGAAAATGGCCCGCCCTCAATCCGTGAAACTCTGGCAAATGTTGAAAACATGTGCGCGGCGCTATGGCGAGAGCGACATTTTGAAAATGGCCCGCCCGCAATCCGTGAATATTTTGCATTTTTTGTTAAACGAATGTGCGCGGCGCTGAGGCGATAACCACATGTTGGAAACCACCCGCCCTCAATCCGTGAAACTCTGGCAAGTGTTTAAAACGAATGTGCGCGGCGCTATGGCGAGAGCCACATAGTGAAAACGTCCCGCCCTCCATATGTGAACCTGTTGCCAATGTTAAGCTTCAGTGTCATAAGTGGTGAGGAAGTCTCAGGCGAAACGCCCGGCCCGCCGTTAATATTGGCCTCGAGGTGCGACAGGGAGAAGTTATGTATAAGGAAAAGGAGTGGAGGAGGAGAAGAAGGAGGAGGAGCAGGAGGAGTAGGAGAACGCGGCCGCCTGGGGTCCAACGCGGCGTCAATGGGACATCCCGACAGGTGGTCAAGAGGTGGCACTAGCCTCCGTGGCTCGCCTTGGGCTCAAGGCGAGCCTGGTCAGAGTGAGGATGCCTGGCGCGCTTCGATCGCGCGTAGGCCTTCTGACCTCCTTCCTCCAGTCTCCTTCCTCGCCTCCTCCTCCTCGTTCCTCGTTCCTCTCTCCTTCTCCTCTCCTCTCTGATCTCTCTCCTCTTTTCTCCTCCTCCTTGCGAAACCGCTCGAATTTTTGCGATGCACTCCGCCGCCGTATTGGCTTCAACAGAGGCCACCTGGAAGCAGGCTGCTAGCAGCACGCAGTCAATACGGCATTGCGGTCGTTCGACATTCGACGCGTTTCGCATTGGTAGCAGGATGCGATCCAGGATCTCGCGACCGGTTCGATATTTCATGCTTGGGCGCCTGGCGCGC